ATATATAGAATGTTATAGAAAACATAGCTTCTATACACTTGTGCCCCTCAATAAAAACGTCTGATGACCTCTTTTTTATGTTTTGCTTGTCAAGGAATTTTTGGTACTTAATAGTGCCACCCAACTGAAAATGTATGGCTGTGCCCCAAAACTAAAATTGCTTCCTACAGGCCTGATTCAGCTGCTTTATCATGGGAAAGACGGCTGACATTAGAACCTACGTATAACCAAACGTTCCAAATAGTACTCAATGTATATGGAGACCAATGAAACACTTTAAAGGTGTCAGAAAAAGGTTTAAAAGATAATGCACGATATGGAGACCAAAAGCAGTTAGTAATACCAAAACATGCTGAAAATAAAGAATTTGGTAGAAAAGATAGAAGGTACACTAAGAAGACTTAGCTCATACAATAAGGGTATCAATGGGAGCAGCTCATAAACTGTAAATGACTTTTTATTCGCGAGAACTTTATTTTCGTGCAATAACGCGAGACAGTTTGCTCGCAAAAACTTCGTTCTCGCGTATAATAATATTCCTTAGGATTATATAGAGCAATAACCACAATTCGTGAAAATTTTGTTAATGACTATGTAAGGGTTAATGTACGAGTAGCACTTCCTTTTAAGGAATGGAGCGCTACGAGTATATTAACCCGCGTAAAATCCATCTTTTTAAATGCTTGTAATTATTGTTTGTTAATATATAATAAAGAATATTTATAAGATACACTGTAAATTATATACATTTAACATATTGGTAGTATTTATTTGTATTTAAAACATGATTATGACGTAAACCTTTTGTTTGTGTTGTCCATTCTATAGCTTAATGTTGAGCTAACTCCTCAAACAATCCATTAAGTTACCTGTAAGTGTCCATTCCTTTTGGAAAACTGTCCATTCTTTTAAGAATGGACAGTTTTTTTCAAAAAGAATGGACAGTTAAAACAAAAGGAATGGAGAGTTACAGGTAAACTCTGGAATGTGTTCAAGAGTGAAACAGAAACAAATACATTAAATACTTTTTAATTTACATATAAATAACAAAAAGAACGCGGGGATCAAAGCTAATCCAGAACACAATGTCTGCACAACATTCGCTCGATTTTACTCTTTTAAATCCATGAATGATGCACATTATTTCAATACCCAAAACTTAATTTTCACAAAACTTGAATTCAAATGACACAATTTCACATTTGATTTAAATTTCGGAAAAATCATTCCCTTGAGAATTCATTTTCAGATAGAAGTACGTCTTATATTAAATCCTCCACCCAGAAAACAGTTTGCACCAAGAATATTACACTGCTGCAGTTAATATTTCGGTAGAAAATAAGTAAAAATGAAACATTTCCAGATTTGATTTGAAAAACATTTCAGGTCGAAGATAGGCTCATGGCTAATCCAACACTTTGAACACAATTTGCATCTCACCATTACACTACTGCAGTTAATATATCCTTAAGGAGGCTGGGGGGTCAACAAATTAACCACAAATTAACAACCAGATTTAACTTAATTTTTAGATATGATATCTTAAGCTGTCAACTATCATCTGGCAAAGAAAAATTTCAAAAATTTTAGTTTTAAAATTTGATCATTTTCTATATCTTCATATGGAGCTCTTCTTCTAAAGGAGATCAATATTGTCTAAGAATTGCCACAACCCCCCAGCCTCTTTAAAAATAGAGTTCAAATAAAACATTTCCAGTTTGATTTGAATTTGATCATCTATATCTGTCGTCGAAGTTCATTTTTGGGTCAAAATTTGGCTAATATTTTTTTTACTCTTCTGTTTCCAGATCCAAATATCACTAATTACTAATTTTGTGCATATTTTGGTTTATTAGATTTTGATTCTGTTATATACTCTCTCCATCAAAGGAAAACATGTATGCCTTTACAACGCAAACTGTAAACTGATTCTGAAGCATCGCATACTTGTATAAATACTAGTATCCCACAAAATCCACCTGTAACTGTCCATTCTTAAAACAAAGACCTTTTGTTATTTGCATCTTGAAACACAATGACTATTCAACAAATTGCTCTGCATCCCTAGCTTACCTGTGACTGTCCATTCCGTAAACAATGAACTTGTCATTGTATGTGTGCTACCTGTCATTTTGTACATTTTTTATTTAATTTTCAGAACAAAGGAAATCATGTTTTAAGTAGGAGAAAGGCCTCAAACTGTCCATTCTGTGAGAGAAAGAACTAATCTCGGGCCTACGGTCCTCGATTAGTTCTTTCTCTCACAGAATGGACAGTTTGAGGCTACGGTCCTCGATTAGTTCTTTCTCTCACAGAATGGACAGTTTGAGGCCTTTCTCCTTTACATAGAGAGAAAGTAAGGCGAAAAAGTGTACTGAAGTTATTTAAATCCGCTATCATTCAACAGCCTCGATAGCGTAGTGAGATGAGTACCTGACTCCGAAGTTGAAGGTACGGGTTCGATTCTCAACAGTGCCACATTTATTTTCTTTATGTGAAAATATGCTTGTTAAAATTTTTTAAGTTCTTTCCTCGGTAGATGTACGGGAAGGAAAATACGAACATAACAAATTCTGTTTTCAGTGTAATTTGCAATTCTCCATTCCTGAAAAATAATGGATTGCTCAAACAAAAGAGTGACGTCACAGGTGGATTTTACATCGCCAAAAAAAGTATCGCAAAATATTAGTGATCTACAGTAATTCTAAGTAGAGGACTGGATACAGCAACACTTCTAGACAGATATCTCATTTACTGAATGAAAAACATAACATTACTGAATCGTGTTTCTCGTGCGGAAGAAATAAACTATCTGAAAAGAGAACAAAAAATGATTATTTTCAGATATAGTATTAGGTGAAACGTGGGACTACTATAAATATGGTTGACAAAACATGGAAAGCGTTCAGTCATTACCAAACGCTGCGAGACTACAAAAAAATTCTTTGTTCTATGTGATAGAGATGGTGGGCGTTGTGTTCAAATTTCTAGCCTATTGCAACGGAAGAGCCTTATATTCGAAAGATATACAGAAGGAAAATTATAGGAACTTAAACAGCAATATCCAAAAACTGGTATTAGGGGTCTCCTTTTATTGCATGATAATATCCTAGCCTACAAGTCAAAATAAGATACGATTTTCTTCTCCTTAAAAAGGGAGCTATTGTCATCCCTCACCCTGCTTACTCTCAAGGTCTTTCCCCCTGACGTTTTTTTTTTTCTTTTTCCAAAGCTTAAGCTTTGCTTGGACGACGCTACAACTCTAGAGCATCACTTGGGTCCACATTTTATCAATTTATAAAGTGGATCTAAAAAAGAGTACAGAGATGTATTTCACGTCTGAAAAAAGTGTATTTGTTAAAGGGAAGTACTTCACAGGAATGAAATAAAGAAACGCAAATGATTTCATACCCTTTTTAGGAATCAAGGAAAACTTCTTTTTGAAAGACACTCGTAAAACATGGTGGGTCAATGCCTGTTATGGGTAACATCCATAATCACAAACACTCGTCTGTATAATGGCGTTTAACGAGGTTGGATCCTGATATTTAAAGTCTTAAACTTTTTTTGTCAAGTATATTTTTAGTTTCTACACACAAAGCTTAATTAAAAATCAAAACAAAAAATGGTGGTCAATATGCTTCTTTCGGCGCTACAATACATTTAATTTGACCTTTTTGCACTGAAATTTGTGTCTTAATCAAAAATCACATCTTCGACGTTTTCCCTCGAAAGTTTTTATCCAAATAAATCATGGAACAAAATAAACTATTAGTCTATTTAAAAAAAAGACGCATTAAAATTGTGAAGAAAGAAAAAGTTTCATATTGCTTCGAAAGTCTTAAACTTTTGCTGAATTTAAGCAGATTGATCAAAGTTATCTTATATATTCAGAAAAGAAAAACAAAAGTGGGGGTCTATGATCTAAATTTTTAGATATTACTAAAAAAGTGTTAATTTTATGTTAAAATTGGCTCAATTTTTTCCTGGACTTTCAGAATATATTTACTATATTTGTCACAATATAATGAAAGAATTCATAAGAAATAATTTTATTATTAGATATTTCAGAGCCAGCATAAAACATTTCACTGCAAAAAACAGCTCTATGTGCAACCAGCATGGAAAAATAGTAATCTAAACTTAATAGTACTGTATATATTTCAAAAGGGAAAAATTGATCATTTTCTTCTAAAAAACCTTCTGCCACAAAATATAGTTCCTGGCTTAATCCTATTTTAATGGAATTTCATCGCGGTTTTTTCATTGGATATAGTTTAATTTGCATTGTAGAATCCAGATTCAATGTTAGAACATAAAAATGATGCAGAATTTTAGAAATAAAGGTCCTGACCAAAATCTGCTCAAAAGTTCAGGATCGAACCTCCTTAAGAATCCAAGTATTGACTTCCTTTAGCTTCCTTAAAAAGGCCATTTCAACGTTTCAAGGAAATAGAGTAAAGTTTTGTGTAAATGTGATGCAGACATTATTGTTTACTGACAAAAGATAATTTAAAAGTAAAATCAAATGAGACATCATGTATAATTGGTTTTTTTGATGTCCATGACTATTCTAAAGCCTTAGTGTATTGTTCAAAGTCCCATCACATTCACATTGTTATACTGTAAATGTATTATATTTAGTGTGTACGATATTTGGTGGAAATTGATTTTTGAACAAGTTAGCGTAGATTTGATTTAGCGCATTTCTTAATGTTTCTTAATGGTCTTATTTATGTATGTATGTGCAGGACATTTAGCGTTGTGCTTGATTTAGGAGAAGTATCTTTCTGCGAAAGGCGCAAAAAAGAATTCATGTATAGCTAAATGTAATACGTTTACAGTATTGTCTGATTGAGAGTACTGATACTGTTATTCCAATCACATGGGAGAGCGGTGTCTGATTCTTCTATTTGTCCATGGAATGGAGTACAAAATCAGATATTAGATAGAAGAAAACTCATCAAAATGAAGACATTGGAAAAAAACTTTTCCTTACAGATATTTTTTTTGTTCATATGTGTTTACTGGAATCAAATTCTTAATTGCTATTGACCATTATCATATAATTTTAGGCTTATCGCTATTTAGCTGTGTTTATCGCCAGTCAAATTGGGACAATCTTCGGTCATTATCATTTATTGTACTTTTAACTACAATAAGGTCATATACATAATAAAGTATTTCTAAGCTATTCAATAATCTGTATCTAGAAACAATGTGCACTGCACTAGTGACAGCACTCCAATTATCATGTGGAGACATGGTTTTTACAAGGCTTTATCCTACTAAAGGAACCTTATCAGATTAATCTTATTGGACCCTTTTAGATTTAGGTCAAAAGAATTACAAAATGTTCTTCCATTTTTGAAACGAGAAAAAAAAAAACCTTCTTTCACTGCCCTTTCTCCTTTTTCTAGGGCATCATTGATTTGACAGTCTCCTTATTTCATCTTCTCTGACACACACAGAGGGGAGCAGCTAGTCCTGTCATGTTATATCACAGTTAGAATCCTGTATCTATACATTATTACTTATCAGCTATCTGAATCTGAGCCAGAGAAATCGTCCTCCATAACTGCGGTGGTTAACACTTTTAAATCCTCTAAAACAGCTGATATTGGTTCTTCATTCCCTGAAAATGAGAAATATTAAACAACTTTTAAAATACTTAATTTTTTTTTCTATTGTAAGGAGAGAAAAAAAGGTGAATAAAAACATTAAATGAAAATATTATTTTAAGCTAAATTTGTTATAATCTCTTGTAAATAATCAAAGTACTGATACAGTACTGAAAGACAGGGTCAAATTAATAACTTTCATGATAAACTTCATAACTGCTGACGATTTTTTAAAGGGTTTTTTTGTTTTGTTTTATTAACTAAAAAATACAGAAATTTAAAATTAAAACAAAATTGAAAAAGTAAATATCATAAACAAAATATTAGATACTTATATTCAGATTAACAATTGGTGAATCTTTCAGCATTGTCCAAATTTTAACTTAAATTTTAATTAAGTAGTAAACAAACAGTGACACAGTCTAACATTAAGCACCCCAGTAATTTATATATACATGTAATGATTATCAAAAGATTAACTGTTTCAAAATGCTTTAACATTGTCCATAATTTGTGTAGAAAGATCTTCAAATTACTTTCTTTTGTTTGATTAAGCATGTGTGTCTTCTGACCAAAGCAATTTCTGCATTCTTTTCTTCAGTGTAGATTCAATTGAGCTGCTAAGTGCAGGGCTTTCATCCGAGACATCGTCTGACAGTAAACTAATAGATGTGACCCTCTCTGATAAGCTTTATAATTATTTATTTATGCCTCTGACAGTTGATTTTATCATCTTCTTCCTCTTAATTATTTTAAACACTTCAAGCAATATGAGCTATAACTCTGATGTCGGAAATTTTTGTTGCTATATTGTAATTAAATATTTCAATGACAGAAATGAAGAATGTTTATCAACTTGTATTGTTTATATTTGTGATGGAAAAACTAATTTAAGCTTTGGTTGAAGCAAAATTACATTATTGTCCTGTACAATATTGCTTCCTTATATAATACTATAGAGTCCATTGTACAGGAATCTTTCTTCTGAAACAATTTGATACTTTAATTTAGTCTAATTGATCATAAAGGTCTAAGTTACATACAGCTTTATCATAATAGCACATTTTAACATCAAAATTGTTTCTCAAAAATACAGTTCATATTGCTTTCAGTAAAAATATGCTTTACCAGTTGATAACTTAAACCAGCAGGGTTTAGAATGGACATTTTACATCTGAAGGAAGGGCTTTATTTTAGATAGTGGTTTAATACTTTAATTTAACTTCTGGTGATATTTTTAGTGACAACTTTATTCAACCAAAATGAAAATCTTAGATTGTGTACTAAATAAAATGACTGGATAAATTAAAAGGGGATTTCTATTCTGATTTAATTTCAATGAACTATAATCATCTGTAGAGGAAACTGGAATATGATGTTGGAACTGTAAACTATGTACTAAATGAATCAATCAAACCTTTTTGATTCTAAATAATAAAATTTGAAAAGAAATGCAAACTTTACCTATTACAATTCTAAGTAATGAGCAATTAAACTGGAAACTTTGAGATAGATCCATGTAAATAAAAGAGCCCGGTCCGCTGAATCCTGTTTTGTTGTATTTTAAACTCTGATTTATTCCTTTGGAAATTAATAGCAAGTCCAGATTGTTCATGTGGTTTATTAGAAGATGTACACCACCTTTTTTTTGCTTGTAAAAATTATGCAAAACCATGAAATTCCGTCACGAATAAGCTATTATTTAATAATCTGCACATTAGAAATGTGTACATGTGATGCTATGAAGGATGATTCTTTCACCAATGAGCAAATTAAAATGCTGCACTTTTGATGATTATTCAAACTTTTCTAAATAAATATGGTCATTTTTAGGTCACCTGAGCGACTCACGTGACCTATTGCTAACTATTTTTGTCTGTCGTCCTGCGTCATCCGCCGTGTGTTATGTGTTAACATTTGAACATTTTCAACTTCTTCTTCTACACAAAGCTATTCATAATTTACTTACAAAATAAGTTGTTGCAAATGCCTGTATGATAAGTCTATAAGTTCATATTCTTTGTGAACTTTTCAAAATTGAAAGACACACTCAAAATATTTTAAATTATCAATTTTGACCTTAAAATACACATAAATTGAAAAACTGTCAAAAGATTTTTTTCTCCTATTAGCTTAGAATGTTTCGATATGTTGCTGCATGGGTAACCACAGTTTCTTTGATATCTTTATTATTTGCCTGTACCCATGGGTAGGGAGGATTGTCCTGGTAATTCGGATGGTATAATTAAGTAAAGCTTCAGAAAACATTGTTTACTGCTCATCTGTGGAATGAGTATGAATTATAAATTGCTAAAAAATAGGAATCATAAAGCAAAAACCTTTGTAAAATAAGTAAATAGATAATATATAATCATAGACCAATCCCACCCAAGAGGATCGTTTTAGCGGTCAGCAATTACGTTTGAGAAGTCAGTGACTGTGTAAATATATTTTCTTCTTATTATTCCTGGGATTTATCTTTAAAGAACAATGTTCTTGGTCAAGAGAAGCCTAACAAAAGAATGTATTATTAAATATACTGTCTACTTAAAATAAAACATGTAAAAGTCTTTCCAGGAAATATACCATATTGTACTGTCATGCGTGTTTGTACCGGTAGTGAAAAAGTTTCTTCAAAACTGAACAAACTCTTGCAGAAATAAATATTCTACAAATAAGAAATCCAAGAAGTTTGTGAGCAAAGGGCTCTTACATAATCTCCACAATATATAATTCATGATATACCGTAATAATAATCTGATTATTAAAAGGAAATGATATTGTTGGTCCTTCACATTGCAATGGGCTATGCTGAGGAATAACATTTGCCCTATGGGAATTTCAAGAAGAACAATGTGACCAGATCATTAATCAGACATTTTTATTAAATAACTGTATTCTTTTCTTTTAAGTTTTATAGTAAAATAATCAAGATATGGCTAAAGGTGCTCTAATTACTCGAAAGATAAGCTAAAACACCACAAGGGATATAATCATGCCAATGATTGAATTATATTGGTAGGGTTTTGTTATGAAAAATGCATATATTAATAATTTAGCCATGTATACCATTTTCCCTCTCTTCTCCAGGGACATTGTCATGAATAGTTGTGACCTTTTTGAACTGCTGGCCAACATCTAGTTCCTGTACCTGGATGGGTTCCGACCTTTGTGACCTCACTTTACTCAACAAGCCCTCCTGTCTGAGTGTTGCCTGTAATTATTGGAAGGAGTTCAGCTGTCAATTTCTACCAGCCTTTTGAATTTCTCATTAACAAAATTGCTCATTTTTGCAGAAAGCAATATACTCCAAGGATAATTAATGAAAAAAAAAACATTTACTGTCAGGTTTTACAAAGGAAAATAGATTATGAATAATTAATGATTACTCGCTATCCTTGAATAATTTCACATTAACAAGCTATTTATAATAATTGGAAATAATTATTTGACCCCTTACACTAATCCTCTGGTGCTGCAGGGTGTGTAGCTGATTAATTCATGTTTATTGACTTACCATGAAAATAACTTGACACCCTCCAAAAAAGAGGGGAAAACTGTCCCTATTAGCAAAAATTTTAGTCTGTTAATAATTCAGTCAAATCTGCAATTCAGTGCTAAGCTGTGTAATTTCAATATTTGATCGAATTCTTCAATTGAATTTGCATTTGATTAGGATCAATAAAATGTCAATTTTCTCCCTTTTTTCTCCCTTTTTTTCTAAAGTGAATTGGCACTGGATGGACAAAGTTAATATACCATTACCAAAACAATGGTTTGTATAGATGCAACATTGAAATGTAGATGTACTTGTGCATTTGTCTATATATACCAAATAAATCCTTTTTCTTAATGTGCATCCTCACATAAATACTTTGTAATCCTGCTGACTAACAAAAGACAGAAAGATATTTACTGGTATTTCAAAGAATAGAGACATTCCACTGGGACTGTTAGATGGAGGTTAAATTTTCTATCAATTCTATCAGAGTTTTAATTATATATTTATCTACCATCAAAACATTTCAAAAAGGAAAGGAAGCATAATTAAAAATTAAAATCAGTTGTCAGAAATAATTTGCTATTTTTTTGGACCACACATACTATGAAACTAGAATGTGTCTTTTGCGAGTACATAGCCCCCTTGCAAGAGGCTAAGAGTGTTTTGGAAAATGAGATAATCTATGTGTTTTCAGAGCTAATATGTCAACAAAAGTGTTGATACTTGTGAAATCTTTTATGTATTCCTGATACACAAAAAAATATTTCTGAAAAAAATGGGTGTTATCATATAAAAGTTTGGTGGAATGTTCTGGAACAAGTAAAATCCCAGTTGTCAGCCAGCTCATTTATGACTGTGCTTTATTTTTTTTTTCTTTTTGTACTGCTTATAAATACATTCAAACCTCGTTATCTCGAACTTCATTGGACCAGGAAAATATTTCGAGATATCTGATGATTTGAGATATCCTGGGTAAAATACTTAAGAAGTAAGTGCTTGGGACTTCAAAATCACTTTGATATATCCATGGTTTTCGAGATATCAGTATTTGAGGTACCGAAGTTCAACTGTACATGCTTCAAGAAATATTACAAGACTGATGTAATAGTAATTTTAAATATAATAGTAATTTTTCTTACAATAATGTTACAATTTTAACTTTACAATTATACAACATATTTTTATTCAATTTTTTTCTTTATTTCTTTACATACCTATAAAATCATGTTCTTTTTCCTCCTGCCTTATATCAGTGTGAACAGAGTTTACTTTAGGTACACCCTTTACAATGTTTTACATCATAACACAAAATAAATCTGTTCAAATGCCCCACCCCACTTCACTATAAAGCTTGTTCCACAGGACATGATGTCACTCTGATGTAAACAAGAAGACTGACCATCATAAGATTCCTCTCCTTCTCCAGTGACTTCACCTGTTCCTGTAGGGTAGATAACTGATGACTATAGTGCTTCTCCACCATCAAGCTCTGCTCTGCAGTACGATCCTTCTCCCTAGCCACCTGCCGTTCCAACTGTCGTAATGATACCACTGAAAATTCAATAGACTCGATAAGATACTTCAGAATTTTCATTTAATGACTTGTATTTCATATTTACTGCTATACAAAGTAATATTTTATCATATGCAAGAAATTGGCCTTAAGGTTCATAAACCCTCTGCTCACTCATATAAAATGTTTCTTCACTCTTATGATTTTCCAAAAGAAATCTATTTTTTAAGTAAAATAAAAACAATTATAGCATAGCTTGCGGGGCAAAATTGGACGAAAAAGGCACTTCAACATGACAAATTTATAAAGGGATAATAGACATTTATGCCATTAAGAGTTATCTCTCTTATCAGAGTATCAATGAACCTTAAAGTGAATCAAGAATGCAACCTTTTGGTATAAGGATATATAATAGTTCTCTTGCAGAGATACAATTTTATTGGATACTTCGTCCTATGGTGTGTTGTTTCTACTTTGACATTTGCATACTGTGTTGACATGCTTCTTATCCCACAATATTAATAGGCTATTGGTCAACTCGAAATAGATGTGCATGATATCGATAATCAAATCCTCCCAGTTGAAATGCAAGTGTTTTAATCACCATGCTACCAAGATTGATCATGTGTGGATCTAGAGGGGGGGGGGTTGCGGGGTATGGACCCCCCCCCCCCCCCAAAGGAATTTGCAGAGTTATTAAGTATATACTGAAGCAAATAAAAAATGACTTTTTGGAACTACACCCCTCCAACCCCAAAAATGTAGAACCCCCACTACCACCACGAAATAGTTTTTTTTTCACATTTGGGAATGGACTTTACGTTTTTTTTTTTCACTAGTCAAGAAAAACATTTAGGAAAGGAAAGGATTTTTTTTTTTTTTTTTTTTTTTTTTTGCTATTCACAAATTTCTGGGTTGGAAATTTTTTTGACTGCATTTACTGGGACATTTGCAATAAGCTGTGTAGCAGAATTCCTCTTGCTGTAATGAAGAACACGACCTAAATGTACTAAATGTAATTATGCCAAAAGACATGAGGTCTGAGTCTGACATACTGTATATACTCGCCTATAAGTCGGTCCGCCTATAAGTCTGTTGTATTTTTTAAGTTTAAATTTGAGGGATTGACTTGCTAAAATACCGATCTTTTTATAACTCGCATATAAATCGGATAAAGGGTTTTGGACCAAAGATTAACTCCCAAAAAAACGACTTATAGGCAAGTATATACGGTAGTGTCAAAATAAGTTTTTTTATTACAACATTCATCTGCTTAAACAAAAACATATAGATCTAATGAGATGCTTAAGTAGAGATATTCTTTGCAATTTTCTATGACATTATCTTAAATCTACAGAATGAAAATGTTTAGCCCTGAGTGAAAGGTCAAGGATACACAACTACATTATGCCTTTAACCAAGATGGAACTTTAAAATATATGTTCTTTATTACATTATTATCACTTTTTATTTACAGATACAATATTTATCAATATTGTTGAAAATATCTTAGTTTCTTTGGAAATGTTTTACACTGAGCTGATTGCTAACATGAAAAGATGGATTGGACATGGCCAGGCAAAAAAAAAATCTATTTTATTTTATTTCTTCATAGATAAAAAACCTGTGCATTAAATGTGTGCACATTCTTATGTGTCTTTACTGTAATAAAGGTCTAATCATTGGTAAAAAAATGAGAGACCACTGGTTATACAGATAGCTGAGAAACATTTTCCTGCTGGCGAAACATCAGATTAAGCTTTTTATGATGAATTGGGGATTTGATAAAATGTAATGTTCATGGAATTTAAAGGTTTTTAAGGTTTCTAATCATGTGATTTATTATTTGCCAGAGCAAGACAACATTATCAAATGAATTATTGAAGACTGTAAAGACAAGATGTAAAACAATTTTGACAGCAAATTAATAGTGCTTATCCTCCATACAGTTCATTGTCCTCAGTTTTACTTGATATTACCATATAATCCCTATTAACCGTCCTGGGCTCTTAGAAAATTGTGAAAAGGGGGCGGTTATTTTGGTATTCTAATTATAATATTTTATGTCATATTTTAACTTCAAAAAATCTTTTGAAAAAAAAAAATTCAGAGAAGAGCTAAAAGGTTGTCTAACTTCCCTTTAAGTTAAGATAATCCATCTAAATTATGATATATGATTCATTTTTCCACCAAGAAATTAGAAGAAATTAGAGAACAAATTTTGTTGGTAACTTTCACTTTCAGAAATACATAATGATTAGGTCATTCTAAAAATCTTTCACTTTCAGGAATACTTTACAAACTAGTTACCCAATAACCAAGTTTCATTTTCACTTTCTTCAAATTATGGTGGACTTTCGATACAATTCTAGATGATTTTAATCACTGTACAGGGGGCCCTTATTTCTCGACAATTGAAAAAGACCTAGGGGGCGCTTATAGGGGCAGGGGCGGTTAATAGGGATTATACGGTAATTATGACAAATTACGATTATTTCAATGAATTCCTCTCAGAACAAGAGACCCTAAAGCCAAAATGGAAACCTCATTAACACTAACCCTTGTAAACATTTCTGAGAAAACATAATCTGTTTCTTATTCTTTGTTTACTACCACATAGCACTATAAATCCCGAATATAATTCAATGTAACCCCTATGTCTGCTCCCATGCAATACTATAGATCCCAAATATAATTCCATCTAACCCCTATGTCTGCTCCCATGCAATACTATAGATCCCAAATATAATTCCATCTAATCCCATGTCTGCTCCCATGCAATACTAAAAATCCCTAATATAACTCCATCTAACTTCTATCTCTACTACCATGCAATCCTATAAATACCTAAAATAATGCCATCTATAAATACTATTAATCTCCAATATAACTCCACCTTACCCCAATATCTACTTCTATGTAATACTATAAATTCCTTATATAACTCAATCTAGCTCCTACGGGTAAATTTGAAACTAAAATACATGAAGACATTTTCCTATTGAAACTGAATGAGGTATCTCTTGTGTATGATGTTTTATCAAATATTGTCCACATCTTATTCAACACCTTACAAATATATTTTGTATCCCATATTATATTTACATCGTTCACATAGCAATGTTTTACGACATCAAGTCAACATCATAATAACATTGTTATGTATTATCCTTTTTTTACACTGACATCGAAATATTGGACAACATCGAGTTGACATCACTGTACAATGTACAACAGCATTGTATCAACATTGCACATGTATATTTTACACACAGTAGTAAACATTTAATGACTCACCTACCCTTTATGTGCCTTATATTACTAACCTGTCTTGGTATGTTTTGTATTACTAATCTGTCTTGGTGTGCCTTAAAATTACTGACCTGCCTTGGTATGCCTTCTAATTACTGACCTGCCAAGGGGTGCCATATAATTACTAACCTGCAAATGTGTACTTTACACTACTAACCTGCAAAGGTGTGTATTATATTACTGACCTGCCTTAGTGGGTCTTTGGTGTGCCTTATATAACAAACCTGCCAAGGTGTGCCTATATTACTAACCTGTCAAGGTGTACCTTACATTACTGACCTGCCTAGGTGTGCCTTATATTACTGACCTGCCTAGGTGTGCCTTATATTACTGACCTGCCTAGGTGTGCCTTAAAATTACTGACCTGCCTTGGTGTGCCTTATATTACTGACCTGCCTTAGTGTGTCTTATATTACTGACCTGCCTTGGTGTGCCTTATATTACTGACCTGCCTAGGTGTGCCTTATATTACTGACCTGCCTTGGTGTGCCTTATATTACTGACCTCCCTTGATGTGTCTTATATTACTGACCTGCCTTAGTGTGCTCTCTTTTAGCATCACTGAGTTTTCTGTCATACTCTGCCAGCTGCTCTCGAAATTCTGCTTCTATTTCTGACTTTTGTTCTGACATGACTGTAAAACAAATGAAGAACTCATTTATCTTTAAATTTTGACCTAATTCACAGAGATGGACAGCTTATAGTTCTGGGCCTAGAATCATGAAATGGATTTTGACTTCAGTCAAATTTTGAATCGCCTGTAAAATATTTGTTGATTATTGAATTAATCTTTTAATTTGCAGAGAACAACACTTTTGTAAAGCAATAATGAAAAATATTTTAATTTTGGTCCACTTGACTTCTACAACATTTTAGCATTACATAAAGATTTTGACTTCAGCTTAAGAATTTTTATGATCCTGAAGCCTGATCAAAACAGTTATTTCTTACAAAGACCTTATTGATAGAAATCAACAGCTTATAGTCCTAATCATATCAGATATTTCTAACAAGACCTAATTCATAAAAATTGACAGCTTATGGTCCTAATCAATTCATCTGTCTCCACACAAAGACCCTATTCAGGAGAAACACAGCTTTAGACTCCTCATCAATATTTTCTTTTAATGGCCTGGTAATTTATCATGTTACCTTGTTCCATTCCTACTTCCCTCTTCGCTAATTCTGTCTTCAAATGATCTATGTTATCGTATGCTTCCTCTAATTCACCTTGGACTTTTTCAGACAATTCCTCCAGACATGAGCATTTCTGATGGACAAAACATCAATTTAGATAAAGTCAAAAGGCAAGATTGTAGGAAATATGGAGAGTGAACATTTTTTGACAAAAGCAATCACAAAGTAGATTCATTAATTTTATCCCCCCACTTCAACCTATAAATTAAAAAAAAAATCAAAGACAACAAAAACTCACATTAAATGAAAGGACACAAACTATAGCATCAAATGAATGTTTGAACAAAAAAGAACAAGAGGTCCACGGGCCACAATGCTCACCTGAGTCAATATGACACTGCTGTACTTCATCAGCAGATTTTTTCTATTATATATTCCTATGTAACACTTCAATCACCCATTGTGGCCCCTCCCTACCCCTCAGGGGTCATGATTTGAACAAAATTTGATCTCCAATACCTGAGGATGCTTCCATATCAATATGACTTATCACAGCTTTGCTGTTCTTGAGTAGAATTTTTTAAATAAATTGTGGCCCCACCTTCCCCCAGGGGTCATGACTTGAATAAAATTGAATCTACACTACATGAAGATGCTTTCATAACAATATGACTAATCATAACTCTGCTTTTCTTGAGAAGGCAATTTTTTTGAAGATTTTTCCTATATACAGTGGCGATGCGTTTATCCGGACGCCATTTATGCGGATGCTTCACCATCTGGACAATATTTTTTGGGAACAGAACAGATTTTTCCACGTTATTTCGTCTCATTAATCCGGAAATTCGCGTTCCACATCCGGACGGTCAATTTCTACTACAAAACATAATAGTTTATTGAAAATTGACTCATTTATCTGGACGGTAATTTTTCAAGAAATGACTTTTTCACACTTATCTTGCTGTAGTGTTAATTGTTGTAAAAACATTGGCCATGCAGTCAGTTTGAAGGTGGTTACCTGTGACCTACAAACAATAGCGTCTATAATCAGCGTGTGTTTATATATACCCCAATTAAATCACACGTTTATTATGAAGCTCAAAGAATTTAGCTTACACTGTGCATTAATTAAATAATAATCCGTTCAAAATAATATTGCTTACCATATATACATTGGTAAATTCATGAGAATTTTGGAGAGTTGTAAATAAAATGAACAACAAATTACGCACAATTTGGTACTGCTATTTATCATGTTGATTGCGTTGGTTTAAAATACAATTTTCCATTTCTAAAAACTTAAATGTATTTGAAACGCTTTTTTACCCACAAGACAGTTTAGAAAGGTACATAATGATGAAATATCTTTCTTCTTAATGTACTACTGTCTATAAACATACATTACTTCAGAAAAGAAATATAAAACTGGCATTACGTATAGAAGTTGATTACGTTTTTCAAGGTATTGTTTAATGATCAAAATTCAAACTTAGAGTTTGTAGGAAAAAATACATGTATTGATAATCATGAAGATGGCTTGTGTTTATGTTGAATGATTTTAATACTTTCATTGATTGCGCATATTTGAGTTAGCTTGCAGTGTTCAGTTAATTTTATAGTAACCCTGTGTAATGAATATACGGGGAATATACAGGGTTAGTTTATATTTGAACATTTTCAATGATGATCCTGAACAGTTCTGTCATATCATATGAGCTTCAATAATTATAAAATAGGCAAAATAAAACAACAGTAGATCAAAATCTGCTCAGCCAATGAAGTAACATGCAAGAGAGGAGGCGTATAATTTCACTGTTTTTAAAAAGGACATCTCAGGATAAAATTGCCTATCCATTTTTTATTGTATGAATTACATTTTAATATATTTTTTCTTTAATTAATTACTCCTTTTAAAACTATAAAATAAAACAATAAATCAAAATATTAAAGTTTCTTTCCTTTGCCATCACATTTGATACAGGAATGTGCATATATACATGCTTGGAGAGTGTTTTTTGAGAAGTGATTCAATTATATCCAGATGATTCATTTATCCGGACGATTTCATTGGGGACAGAGGCGTCCGGATAAATGAGGCGCCACTGTATTAATTTGTAAAACTTTGATCCTCGCATTGTGGACTAACCTTACCCCCGGGGGTCATGATTTGGAAAAACTGAGTCTACACTACCTGAGGATGCCTCCATATCAGTATGACTAATCATGGCATTGCTGCTCTTGAGACAAAGATTTTTAAGATTTTTTCCTATATATTTCTATTCCACTGTGGCCCCATTGAACCCTACGGGGTCAAGATTTGAACAAAATTGAATTTTCACTATATGTTTTCTTGTTGCTGGTCTTTAATCCAAAATGAACTTTATGACAGGTTAAAGTGTTCCTTCAATAAGTATAAATAAAGTTGACTACCTGGGTCTTTTCCTGCAGCACCTGCTCTAAGTCTTCCACTGTCTTTCTTAAATTTTTATTCTCTTCTCCACCTAAAATGATATAGATCCAAGTAGGATTTATGTATGAAGATTTGTAAGCCATGAATAAACAAATTATATTTATTTCACTATTCTTTACACTGAGATACAAATCAGAGAAGGAATTACATTTGGCAGTGGCTGCCTGTAATCTCTCACTCCAGGTTTCTGCGTCCTGTTTTAACTGCGCGGCCAGTCTGTCTCGCTCGTGCATTACTCGCTCCAGCTCCGAGGATACATAAGTGACACTGAAAAAACACAGAGTGACAAACAATAGGTATACATTATACTTGATAACTTGTGCAAAATGACTATCTCTGTTCAAAAAAAAAACAAGATGTGTTTGTGAAACACTGATGCCCACATATGGCAGCTCATGACTAAAGTTAAAGTTTCTCAAATGCAAGTTCAAACTCCAAGATTAATGTCAAAAGATCAAAAATGTGTGTGCCCAAAGAAAAGACTTGTCATAACGAATATACCTAAAAGCCCTAGCACCAAGCATTCAAAACTTATGGCCAAGGTTTTTTTGGAAAGTATGTCAAATTCCAAGGTCAAGGTTAAAAGGTCAAAAATGATGGTATTCAAGGAAAGGTCTTTCACGAGGAAAACACAATTAAACTATGAATGTCCTTGCAAAAACTTCAAAAGTTATGGCCCAAAGTTTATTGTTCAAAAGTAGGTCAAACTCCAAAATCAAGGTCAATACCGGTAGGTCAAAATTGTTGGTAAACAAGGGAAGGTCCTATCACAAGGAATACACATGATAAATCTGAAAGCCCTTGCACAAACCATTCAAAAGTTATGGCCAAGTTTAAAGTTTGGTAAAATTTTGCAGAGGTGAATCAAACTCAAAGGTCAAGAGGTCAAACGAAATATACTTGTGAAATATGAAAACCCTAACACCAACCATTCAAAAGTTATGGGCAAGGTTAAAGCTTTTGTGGAAAAACAGATGGATTGACAAAGCAAATACTATCTTAGATTACTGGGTCATAAAAAAGCTTTTTATTTGTTTTTCGTTATACCTCTAGTACATGTATTTCATGTAACCCATCTCTTTGTGTACAATTAATTTTCTGGCCAACAACATAGCAACATGACACTTTCAAAGTTTATAAGCAGTGAAGGTTTTCTCTAATTAATTCAGAGGAAATATGGAATATTTCTATATTTCATTTGTTTTATCTCATATCATTAGATGAGATGCATTTCATGTGAAGAGAAATATCAAGAGCAATTAATCCTCACCTACAGTGTAGTCATAAACTGTTCTACTTTTGTAATGGCCTTTTCATTTCATTGTTGAGTACAATAACCATTACATACTGTAAACACTTTTGTCTTTGCTCATACTTTTTTTAAAGTTTTTTTTCTTCTAACAATATCTTTCACATCAATCAGTCAGGGTGAGACTGAAATTCATCATTTTTAAAAATGATGATTTCTAGTCATAAAATTGATTTTTAATAATGACGAAAATTCATCATTTTTTAGAATAATGATCAAAAACAGTCGTAACTATTTGGAGTTTATTTTATTTATATAGAGTTACTTCTAAAAATAAATATGACTGTATTTTATCATTTTTTATCAAATTGGTAGGTCTGGATCTCGTTAGTTATACAGGGCGCACTACTTTATTTTGGTTTCAAATGTTTGTCAAGATGTTTCTCTACACATGGGTCCATGGCAGGATAGTGTACTATTTCTTATCACTGTAGTAAATGGGTTGGAAGAATTCACTTGGGAATGGAAATATGATGAAAACAAGTCATATTTACAAAAATAATAAAAACACTTACATTATGTAGTTAGTAGAAATGACAATTATTAATCATTTTTCAATATGATGGATTTCAGTCTCCCCCCTGACTGTCAATTGAATGTGCAGTTCAAGTTAGCATAACAGTGCTATTTTCATAATTTTGTTGTACCATAAAACAGTTATATATAACTGCAGCAAAACTGCTACCATAAAAAGCATCCTAATGTAACAAGAATATGAAAGCTTTTACCTCTCAGTATCATCTCGACCTCTTGAAGTGCCGTCCATATCTTCATCTTCTGTCTTTACTTTCTTCATGGCTTCATTCCGTGCATAAATTCCTGATTGAATTGTATGAGAAAATTTTACTTGAGTATTTATAGGTTGACAAAATAGCACATGAAAAAGAAGTAATCATCATTAATCTCCAAATTTATATTTAACAGACAGATATGATGAATTCATCTTCTATTTTATTACATCTACCTTGTAAAACCTCAATCCGACTGCTAGCAAAGCTTATTCTCTGTCCATAAGCTTTCAGGGACCCCAGGATGCTTTGCATGATTCCAAAATTTCCCTCAAACTTACTGCTGATACTGTCCAAAAGCATTTGAAGGTTAAAAATGTGAACCATTAAGTAGAGGATCAAAGTACTGAAAGTACTGGGAAGCGCTAAGCATGTTGCAATTTGAAATTCATCAGAATTACTTTGAATTTAAATTGCCTGTTGTATTGGAATTTAAGCAATATCTTGACAGTGCGGCTTCGCTAGGGCAAGCACAGTTGTTAAATACATAATCAAACAAGAGGGTGTTGCAGTTCTTTTGTTATTTTCCCTCAAGTTGTAGCAGTTTAAAAGAAAAATTTTAAGTAACAGAAAACGGTCTTCATTTTTTTCAGATACAACGGTATATACAGCACAATATAGAACAATATTTAGAAACTGCATATCGACTTCCAATTTGCCATTAAATGAATTATAAATTAGTCACATAGCAAAATAAATCAAGTATTCTGTTTTTCAAATAGGGAATCCCCATTGTTCTGAAAAACTGCCTCCTTGAAACAGAATGAATTTGATATACGCATAAAGAGACGGGATTTTTCTTCAAAACTGCCATTTCCGATTTTTGTTTCAAAGAAGCATATTTTGGAAAATCACAAAAATCGAATAAAAATTATAATCCATCCGAAATGCAAAATGTGCACATAAAATAGCACAGTAATACTTCACTGTCGGAGCTGGTCTAGTGGTAAAGCGTGTGGACTCTATGCAAAGATTATTTTATCTGAGAATGGGTTCGAATCCTAGAATGGCTGGTATCTATATACATATTTTTTTTTACATAATGGAAGTACAATGTAACAAATCTCTTGAGAGAGAAAGAGAGAGGGAGAGAATGTCAGAAAGTTAACGGGTAATATTTTAAATGCATGCAGAATTAAATTGTTTTCCTTGATATTGTGATCTAAAAGTAATAAGACATATATCTAATGTAATTATCTAATGGCAATGTCTTAAAAAAATAAAGTACTATCATTTTAAATAATTTAATTTTTTCATACGCATTTCGTTTCATTATTGTTCTGTTAATTAGTGGCTCAGATTTGATTTGAAACAACTACAATTGAAATGACTCAATGGAATTTCTTGGATATTGCATCGACAGCGTGATTATTGGACACATTTTTATATATATTGAAAAATATTAACGCACGCTGTCTACAGTACATCTTTCAAAATGATGTGCTAGGTGCACTTGCCATTAATTTTGCTTTTTATCGTTCTAACTTTTCTCGTGCAAATTGGCGTTAGTGACGTGATGTGAAAAAAAGTTTACTTACAAGTCACCAGTCTATGTTAGGAAAAACTATGCAAGAAATAAACGTAATGTTAAATGTTTTGTTATAACAAGCTGGGCATACCCGTCGTATAAATTAAGTCGTCTGCGTAGCACATCTATATTTATAGGTAACTCTTCATGCGTCGTGGTATTTAAATGTCCTTCTCGATATAGGGAATAATCACGAGTTTCTGCAACACCCTCTTTCCCGTTGGGATATGAAATTCAACATTGTCTTATGCCTTTTTATTTTAAGCATTTTACATTTTCTTCTTTTCTCAAAAGGTCAATCAATTTCACACACATAAAATTGCAAAAAAAATATTTCTCCATTTCTTAAACAAAAAAAAAACAATATATACACATTAAATGGCAGATATTTACTCCTGTCCAAACAGCAATGTATTTCTCAGACTTAATGAAAAAAAAATAGAAAAAAATACATGTAAACATATTTTCTTTCTCCATCTCCTTATAGGAGTCTATAAGAAGTAGCTTTGCGTATAAATAGCAATTTATTAAAGGGGGATGGTCGACGAGTTTTTCGACCAAATTTAGACTATAAATGTAGCTATACATTTGCTGGAAAATGTATATTTCTAAATAATTTTGAACAATTGAAAATATGATCGCTGAAATTTCTCTCATTTATGTGCAACATCGACAGCTAAAATGTTCTGGTGATAATTTTTAATAATAAATTCATTCCGTGTTTATGAGTGTTTCAAATTGAAGATTGGCTGTTAGTTACTGTGCTTTAATTTTAGAAACTGCACTCGGAAAATAAAGATGCTATTTGTTTATTGCGTCGATAAATATTTCCTAATTGATAACATACGAATAAAACATCTCAAAAATATCGAATACTAGTATTCTCACTAAATTCTTTTTACTAGTATATCTCTTTTTTCATATTCATAAGCGATTTATAAATATACATGTATGTTTTATTGAAAGGATTTTACAAGAAATACATTAATGGAGTATGTTAGATATTTACACAATCGCTATGAGTGTCCAGTATTTATTAATGATAAATAATGCTTAGACTACATGTATATATTACATTTTGTTTTGAATATGCTACAGCTGTGTATTATACATTCATCGCGCTTTTGACAAAACTCTATGTCAATGAAATGAGCACCCGTAGAGTTAACATCCTTTTGTCAGAGATAATTGGTAAATATACATTTGGAGTATAAAGATATTATATTTGTCTTCTTCATTTGATGATAAAACATTCGGTGCTATCCTTTTATCTCTGATAATCATATACATGATTTATAAATTATAATATAATGTATTTGCAACAAAAATTTGTCTTTTCTGTTGGTCTCACAATATGTATATCTGATTTGTAAATATTACTTTTTTAAAATTAAAATTTTATACTTTTCTTCTTCGGATTAAAGATATGTCTTTAAACCCCCAAAAGTATTTTGGACTATTGTTGAAATACTTTAAAATGCCTCAATATTTTTTTAAGGACGTTTGATGCTTTACACCATTCTTTACTTGTTTATGTATGATTTTAACTACCACGCAAAACGTGTTTAGAGGAAAAAAATATCCACAGCACTGTTGTGATAGTTGAAAAGGAATACTGAAAATAATTGCCCGTAATTTTTCTGATATTTCCATGATAAATAATTCAACAGCCCAAATAGAAAATACAGTATATCAATCTCAAGTATTAATAAATCTTCATGAAGGTATACAACATTGTTTTATTCTGTTTTTATGAAGTCCTTATTAAGTTGCTTAGCAGTCAAAACGGCAAACACGCGCACATCTTTACATAAACTATTTCTTCCTAGTTTCCTAATGCAAGTATTACACTGTTTGCTTAACATTTCATCCGCGCTTTCCTGTCCATTGCTAAGAACGTTTAATTAAGGTTTTTGCATTTTTCGCAATATCTTGCGCACTGCACACACAATTTTAAAGCACAATATACCGAAAAATTAGTTTTCCTATTTGAGTGATTCGTTGAAAACACAGCCACCACGTGCCCTACATGTAAGTACAGCCGCAAACTGCCTTTCCTTGCGAATTATTTACATCATGTTTTTTACCCATATTACAAGTATAGACTACAGCATTCCAGTCTGTTACTAATTGATACTGAGATGCGAAAATCCATTTCCTTGATAACTCTCTGCATGGTGCAAGGGTGATAATAAGAAGACTTGTTTTTAGTTACATTGTCTGAAATACGGGTCTAGAAGAAGAAATAATAGTTTATATGGATATAAATTATATAGAACGTACATATGTAAGTACATTGTAAATAAATTTTATGCGAAATTTTCTACTAAATAACCCAATTCCAGTTTGAGTTTTAAATACTTGTTAAAATCCCATCTGAGTTTTAAAATATGTACTCATTCAATCACTACATTACATGTACATGACATATAATAAACTGTTTTCAATTAAGTATTTGTGCCATAGATACAGCAATTGTTAGCTACATGGTACACAAGTGATGAATGCCTACACGATTTTAAATGAACTACAATGTTTAGAGATAAGCATGACAAGAACCGCCCTTATCTACTACATGTAACAGTGGATTTTCGTACAATGTACATGCATATCTTTACCTTACTAATTGACTCCTATTATTACAACTGCACGTAACTCAGTATTACACTAAAATAGCCGAAAGAGAGTCGGGGATTTCCAGTTGCATATTTTTAGAAAACCCAGTGAAGTTATCTAACTTGGTTAGTGGCGCTGGATCGCAAACGGAAGTAGATTTAAGATGACAGAAAGCGCTTTGCGCTGCGCTTAGCACTTAAAAAAGGAAAATGCTGGCTATGCAGACAAAGAGAGATAACTTTAGGTCAATAGAGAGTACTCTTAAATTATGCTTTTGATCTTCTGTTCTACAAGTAAATGTATATTCACTGCCAAATTCATATGTGTTTAAACCCAGGTGCATAATGAAAAGTGTCTATTTAAAGCGTGTACAGTGTTTTAAATTTTTTCATACCTCTGTGAGTGTACAGTGTTTTATCGCAAATTTAACTTGAAAGGATACACTTCGACCGAAATAGCGTTGCATTGAGTGATGACACTATTGGATTTGACAATTGAACAATTTGAATCACAGGTTACATTTTATAAAACATGCATTTTAATTGGTTTATTAGGACCTAACCACTCTTGTGTGATATCCTTTGCCTACATATAGTTGGAAAGCGTCCAACGGCCTGGCCAATAGCCATGTTTGATGGTCGAAAACTGATGTTGACTTTTTGAACTAAATAAAAAGGAAACAACTCGTAAAATCTTATTTCAGCATGTGATATTCCTTTCACATACGGTACATGTATATTGTTCAATGACAAAAACTGTTTCATCCTGCATGTATCTGCCGATTGCCTCTGCAATAAATTGACGGCATTTTCAATTTTCAGTGTTCGTTAAATTAAATAGTCTGTGCGACTTTTCGGCGCACTAAAAGTCTTTTTCTTTATGTTTTAGTCCCTAGTGAGTAAACGTGAACTATTTACATTGGGTAGGCAAACCCAAGCAAATTGAAAACTCAGGTATTATTGTACTTAGCATACCCAGCTGATACCGGAGCACTTGTTATTGAAAAAAAATACTAGTCTAGTATATACCGTATAACGGGTATTTTCTGCGGTTGGAAATTTTTGCGATTTAACCCCTAAAAGATAGCAAATTAATTTCTGCATTTTCAATTTCTGCGGTTGCATTATACCGCAAAAAATTATTTA